CAAATCTGACTCCGACACGGCTTTCAAACTCAACACATTCTATATTCTATCGTTATATAACTTGCATATTAATTATTAAACTTATATTGTTTTATTGTATACATTGACTTTATTCAAGCATGAGTGTTTCGTGATCTTTCTGAGGCCCCTGACCACAGTTTCTCATGGTTATTCTTACATTTAAACAGTAATTATATTTAATTACTAAATAATCATCACATCTAACAAGTATATAATTTATCATGTACTAGCTACACATGTTCTAGTGTTGCAGCATTTTTGAGAGAATCAGGACATGAATTGTGAAAGTTGAGCTACTCCAGTCTAGGCCTCAGATTGAGGCCTGGTGAGGCCTTCAAGCCTCTGACGCAGTTAGAAATTCAGAGCTTGTGGCGCAGATAGAAAATGTCTTAAGGTGTTATGGGGACCACTGGGTTGTTTGGGTGTGAATTAGTATAGGTTTTATGGTGTAAGGTGTAGGCCGTTTTAAGGAAAAGGTAAACAATATTGGTTTGCCAATCAGAGTGTCTTTGTTTTTGTAAACTATGTAGAAGCTTATATAAACTACCACCTTATCTTGAATAAACGGAGAACGCTTGATTAACCACATTGGTTCAGACCTGCGTTTGTCTTTTCCAGCTTTCTGTTTTTCTGAGATTCCCTGGCTTCATTCTAGCAAGGTACAAGGCCTTCGTGTACCTAAGTTATTTATTTTTCAGGGCTTACTAAGCTTAATTTTCCTTTTAACCCAAAATCCCCCCATGGTTTTAAAATCCTTTTACTATCAGTGGCAGCAAGGCCACTTTGCGAAGGAGAAATTTAGAAATGGTGACGTCATTGTTTTTAGGAAGGGCTCTCCCCTTTCCTCTGTGCCTGTCTTGTCTCTGCTGCCAGGAGCACTTTGGTCATTAATATCTTGTCCCCAGATTTTGGGGCCAATTGCCTCCCAACCCGGCTCCCGGAACAGAAATGGCTTCACAATTGTCCTGGTTTTGGGCAAATTTGGGAGAAAACCTCTGGAAGGAGCCCCCAGAAAGCAAAACCCCCATGGCCCTTCCCCCCATCTGGTTCAGGAAGAATTTCCTCAGAGACAAGTGGAAAAAAAACCTGTTTATTTAACAGGCAAAGCACTCCCAAGCACAAAGAATGCACAAAACTCTTTCACTGCTCTGAAGAGATGACAAATTCAGAAAGTCTCTCCTGGGAGGGGTCGCTCTGTTATCGGTTCCTCTGGCGCTGGGAATGGCTGCTGCAGGCCACAAAGTGCAAACTCTTGGTCTTTTCCAGGTTCCAGTCCAGAGCAGGTTCCAAGAAAAGGGAAAGAAAAACAGTCCAGGATAAAATTTGGTCTGCCCAGCTAAACTAACTAACAAGCAAAAAGCAAAAGCAAACAGAAGCAGGAGCAAGGGCAAAGGTGAAAGCAAAAGCAAAAAGCAGAAGCAGCACTCGGTACCACTGTGTGTGTCCAGCAGACCGTGGGGGAGTGAGCAGGCTGATAACAAAACAAAATTTGGCTTTTCAGAGCCAGGCTTGAAGGGCAGAACATAATATCCAGCATAAACAGAACAGATAACGGGGGATACGAGCATCATAACGCCGCCCGAGGACACTTGGACATTTGGGACATCTTCTTTGAGGAGCTCATGGACTTGGCACCAAACCTCCCATGGGGCTTGTCAGAGTGCACAAAGCCCAAAGGAGCTGCACCTCTGCCAGAATTGTCTTCAAGAATTAATTTGTTCAGGAGTGGAATTAACGAATTAACGAAAAATATTTCAATGAGCAATTACCTCAAATGCTTTTCCCTCCCATTTTCAAGATTAGTTTTCTTTTCATAAGAGGCAGTATAACATTATTTTCTTATAAATGACTTTTCTTATAAATAACATTATCTTATTATTTTTCAATTGATATTGAAACAGGGTGTTCCCTAAGGAAGTCTTGACTAGTAGGAAAAGTCTTCCTTGAGGTCAGGTCCTGCCTCTATGGATAAAACATTGCTTCTCACATTTTCAATATTGCCATTTCTCTCCTGGGCCTCCGGGCACCTGCATCCCTTTTCACCTTCTAGAAGGCAGTGAGCTGCGTCTCAGCTGCTTTTAATTTTTGGAACAGGAAGGATGATTTCTGTGCTCGTGGAACAGCAGGCCAAAGGCCGACAAACTGAATCCTGACTCGAGCCGACAGAAGCCGTGAGAAAGCTGACAGCTCTTTGTGAGAACAGAGTTCTGGAGCAGTGAAAAACAACTTGTTTTTCCTGAGAAAGAGCTCTAGGACTGTGGAAAACAACCTGCTTTCCCTGAGAAAGAGTTCTAGGACTGTGATAAACACTAGCCACCTGTATAAACTGGTTTTACATGGTAAGATAGAGAAATTAAATTGTCCCTCACAAACAACTTTTCCTGCACGTACGCATTGGGGCTTTGAGTCACCAATCAATACAGGGTAACAACTTGTTACTGACCAACTGGGGATAGACAGGGGATGTTCTTAAAAAGCCCTATAAAAAGGGAGTCCCGAAATAAACTGGGATTGATCCTTTCTTTTTGCACCATAAAACGTGTCCTGCATCCTTCTTTATCGAGCGCTGTTGCAGTGCCCTTTTATTTCATGGCTTGTTGGATGGTCTGTTCTAATTCACCCCCTGCATGTTGTATTTCCCCAGGTTGGATTATTCCTGGTTTATATCACTCCCCTATTACCCTTCAATCATGATAATCCCCACCCTGTATTCCAGTGCCTTCCCTATCCATCACTGCAAACCCTGCCCCTGTTCTGGACCCTTCCCTGTCAGTCTCCTGTGAACCCCTCCCCTGCCAGTTCTGCCCCACTGGAATTCCCCTAATGTACAACCTCCCACTGGTCCGTGTGACCTCACCTCTCCACCCCTTTATCCCCACTGGTCCCTGAATTGTCTTCCCCTCCTTTCGCTGCTCCCCCCGATTCCCTATTGGCTCAGTGATTGTGCCCACCCCGGTTCCAGTGCTGTATAAAATCCCGAGCACACAGGGGCAGGGCTCTTTGGTCCCTGTTCCCTTTGATGGATACATGGCCTGGCTTGTAAGATCAGCATGGATTCTATTGCTATTTGTTGGAGGTTGGGCAGTTCTCTTATCTCTTCCAAGAACAATGTGTCCCTCCGGGGAGATCTCTTCTGTTAATAAATTATTAAATAATTCACTACATGACCAGTAAAGTTACATCGTCCCATGGTGAGATGCTCCACCCAGAGGGAGGAGCCAAGCATTCTTACCTGCATAAAATCAGCATTTTTTGGGACACTGGCAGCCCTTCGCTGGATTCCCAGAGGAGCAGCTTCTTCCCTGCTGAATTCCCAGAGGAAGACCAGGCCCAACTACTCCATCACCAGACCTTCAGAGAAAACTCCGCCCTTCTAGAGATCACCACTTCAGCAGCATTTCATCTGCCACTCCAGGAGGAGCAGCCACCATTTAACTGGACTACTACCAACACCCCGACTCCTCAGGGTGTCAGCTTTCTGACTCCATCATTAATTTTGTTTGTACTAATTACATTTTTATTATTATTGCTATTATTTTTATTTAGTTTTTCTCCTAATAAAGAACTATTATTCCCATTCCCATATCTTTGCCTAAAAGCCTTTTTAAAATTGTAGCAACTCAGAGAGAAGAAGTTCACCTTTTCCATTTCACGGGAGGCTTTTGCCTTCCTTCACAAACTCCTGTCTTTTCAAACCAAGACAATAAACCTTCTTCAGAATCTCACACCAAAGGCCTCCCTCTCCTGTTCTGTCTGCCCCCTGACACTGACACCGTTCTGTCGGAACTCAAAATGTCCCTCAGACATTTTCAGAGGTTCCAGGCCTTGGTCAGAAGCATTTTAGACCCTGGCAAGCAGCTGAAAACAGCTGTGATCTTGAGTTTGAACCATGGAATGAGTTACCAACTTTGAAGGTGGAACAAGCAGTCACAGAGGGTTAGATGGTATAGTAAAAGTAGTCACAAATTAGAGGGTAAATTTTTTTAGTATTGTACAGGGGGGTTTTAATACCTGTACAGGGGGGTTTTACTTTGTACAGGGGGGTCAGGAGTTCTAAGATGGAGGAAAGTGGGCCTGATCCTGTTCTTCCTCCTTCTTCTTCCTTACCTCCATGTTCTTGTGATGTTGGCATTCACAGATTGGTTTAGAGTAGAAAAGCACATTGTAACATAGATAGTAGGTATTGGGGAAAATCTTTAAACATATAACACGTAATATATCATATAAAAGATAGCAGCAGCCCTGGGCGGGGGGAGAGACGACGGAGACACCGGACAGTGAGGGTGTCAGGAGAGTGTGTGTGTCTCTGCCTGGGCCGCTGACCAAGACAATCTTTTAGATAACTTGCAATAAACTGCCTTGAGACCGAACCACAAGAGGCTGTGGAGTTTTTCTTTGGAAGCACGGGTTGGAGGAGAGACTTTACCACCACAAGAGAGCCCCGAATCAATCCCGGGGTTCTCACTCCTGGCGTCCCTGGCCGAGCATCAACAAGAAACATCAAAACAGCCTCCAACCTTCAGCGAGAACAGTTTTAGAGTCACTCGCACAATGCAGCAGCTCAAGTCAAGCAGCCACGGCTCCTGGGGAAAAACGGGGGGGGGACAGTCCAGCCAGCAGCTCGGGACAGGTCCTTCCACCACAGACATAGTAGAGGATACCCCTTCGCGTCCCGTATCCCCAAGTTCCCACTGCTCCTCAGTGTCCCGAGAGTCCCCAGGCTCCTCCGACGCGGAGACTCCCCAGATGGAGGCAAGCAAGCCAGGCGCGGCCCCCGAATCCGCGGTGGGGGGAGCGCCGGCAGCAGCCCAGTGGGTGAGAGTGCGTACGTGAGTGTCGAGCAGAGGGAGGAGGGAGAGGAAAGTGCTCTCGCATCTGCGCAGGCTGGGAGTTCAAAACAGCCCGCGCAGAAAGCGAAAGCGAGGGGACGGGCGGGGGCGGGACGGACAGGGGCGAAAGCGGGGGGTGCGAGTGCGGCGGTGGGACGCTCTGAGCGTCCGGTGACGCGTTCGATGTCGAGAATCCGTGAGGCCGCCGAAGCGGCCGCCCGGATGGCGCGGGAGAGCGGCTCCCTGACTGCGGCAGCCGCATTTGCCGAGGGAGCGGCAGGGGGACAGCGGGAGGCGTCCCTCGCTGCAGCTCAGGCGGCGGGCATGCGCGGGAAGGTTGAGCGGGACCCGGAAGCCACGGGGGGAGGGGATTTTTCGCATCTGGAACGCGCGGCACGGGCGCGGGCGGGGCGGAGCCGGCACACGCGGGCTGTGGGTGCTGGCGCAGAGCCAGGAGAGGGGCAAAGCGAGGCGGAAACATCAGGGCCAGAATGGGATCAGGAAAGTAGTTGCGTCAGTCTCGGGGAGGACGGCAGTGGCTCTGAATCTGAGGCAGTGCGGGGTGGAGCTAGGCGAAAGCACAGCCGGGGTCGGAGGAGAGGCGTCCACACCCCCGTGATGACGCAGGCAGAGTCGGGGCGTGGCCAGGATGTAAACATTCCTCAGGGCACGGTCCTGTTGCAGTTCCCATGGACAAAGTCAGCCCAAGCCCACAGCCAACCCCTGTCAGCTTCAGACATGGTCAGAATAGAACAGTTGTTACAAGAGTCAGTTTCACAGAGTGCAGGGATTGCAAACGTGAATCAGTTATGGGGAGAAATGCTCAAACATTTATCAGGAATTACCACGGGGTTTGCAAATGTGAATCAGTTGTCAGAAGAGATGCTCAAATATTTATCAGAAGTGCAAATTGAAGAGCCAAGTGCAGTCCCGACCTCAGTTGGTCAGGCGGCAGCGCCATCTAGTGGCGGAACCACAACATTGCAGCAGATTTTACAGGACCCAGTCAGACAAGGCAAGGTGTCACACAGTGGTGGGACTTTGACAATTCAAGACTTTTTTCCAGTTTCTTATAAGAAAAAATCTAGGATGAGAAGAGCTGCATCTGCACGACAGCAGGAATCTCCGCTGACTCCAGAAGAGTGTGGGACTCAGGACACTTCTGCTGGGGCTCAACAACAGGATGACACGATTCGCATCACTGCCTCGGAGGGTGTCCCAGCTTGGACAATTCCAAAATCAAGGTCTGCCAAAATTTCGGGGCAGGGAGAATCAATTTCAGTATCAAAAAGGGTTGTTGAATTTCTTTTACGATATTTAAGCATAGCCTTGGAGTCGCAGCCAGAGCTGTTGGTTCATCTTCCAAAAATTTTCCAAATAATGCAGGGCAGTCATGTGTTCTCCTCCACAGCAGGTGCTCCACTTTTCTCCGGAGGCACCCAGCCTTCATCTTCACAGATGCCACAGACGCCGTTGGTATCGGTGAGTGCTGCTGCATCAAAACTGCAGTCACCTCAGATGACTCCACTCTACAGGCAAGTACCCACAGAATTTCCAGCTTTGCCGGATGCGAAAGTGGACTGGCAGGACATTCGGGCAGAATTGGAGAAGGAGAAAGGTTTATTGCAGGGTTCGGGAAACATAGTGATGCCAGTGAACTATGATGCTCAGGGCCAAAACCCGAGATGGGAACGCCTGGATCGTGGAGCAATCAAAGATTTAGCTAAGGCCATTCGGGACAATGGGTTGTCATCACCATATTTCAAACAGATGTTGAAAAGCATTTTTGGCATGTATGATTTAACACCATATGATCTTAAATATCTCGCAACATCAGTTCTTACAGACACCCAAGCTCTCATTTGGCAGAAGGCGTGGCGGAGATCCCTGGAGGAGCTGAGAGCCAGATACCAAGGCGGGCCAAACGCGAACCTCACCATGGTGCAGCTTGCCGGTGATCCTCCTGAGGACGATCCAACTCAGCAGGCGGTGAGACTCCCACGGCACGTGCTCAGCGACATCAAAGAGGCGGCACGGAGAGCAATTCTTCAGATTGCTCCGGCGGGGGTCCAGGACAACATCTACACCGAGATCAAGCAGGGTTCTTCAGAGCCATTTTCCTCGTTCGTGGATCGTCTTTCTCAGGCAGTGGAGCGGCAGGTGACCGAGGAGGGGGCGAAACCACATCTGACCAAAAGCCTCGCGTTCTCCAATGCCAACCCAGAGTGCAGGCGAATCATCAGCATGATGCCACACCAGGCCACCTTGGCAGACATGATTGAGGCGTGCAGCAAGGTGGGAACACCACAACATGTTGCTTCCATCATGGAGGAACACTTGGGGGATCGAATTGAAAAGCGTGTTAAGGAAGTTCTTGCAAATTATGCAAAGGGCAACACCGGTGCAGAGAGACGGTGCTTTGGGTGTGGGGCACAAGGACATTTTAAAAGGAACTGCCCACAACTTGCAAAGCCCAACAAGCCACCAGACCTCTGTCCTCGATGCAGGAGAGGGAGACATCTCGCGAGTGAGTGCCACTCACAGACAGACGTGGATGGAAAACCTCTTCCGGTTCCGGGAAACGGGAAAAAGAGCGCGAATCGACGCCAGCGCGCACCGACACAAATTCTGGCGGTGACACAGAATCAGCAGGAGCAATCCTCGGGGAACAACAAACAGAATCCTTCAGCAGAGCAATCTCCAAAATCCCCAGCGACCCAGACTTGGTACCACCCGGATTCCAACGCGTCCTGGCAACCTCCAAATTGACGTGTTTTTTGGACAATAGCCATGCAGTGATACCCACGGGTGTCACAGGGACTTCTTGGAAAAGGCAGGATTTTTTAATAATGGCCAGAGACAGAAGCAGCATTCTTGGACTTGTTGTTTACCCATCTTTGATTTCAGCAAACCGTAATGAGGAGCTGATGGTCACAGCAAAAGCCTTGCGACCACCTTTGACAATTCCACAAAATACACCAATTGCTCGAGCCATGGCTTTGCCATCTCACCCAGAAAGGCAAGTCATGCCAGTGTTCAACACACGGGACTCTTTTTCTGGTGATCAAGCAGAAGTGCATGCATCTTGGGTGAAACATGTGAGCCGAGATCGGCCTGTTGTTACTTGTCAGTTGACTTGTAACGAAAAGACAATTACTATCACGGGAATGCTTGACACAGGAGCAGATGCTACAGTTATTTCATACATTTTTTGGCCCCGGGAATGGGACTTGGTTGCACCTTTGGGCTCTCTCTCAGGCATAGGAGGAAGTTCCCTATGCATGCAGAGTGAAAATGCAATCGTTGTCAGAGGCCCGGGAGGGAAAACAGCAGTCATCCGTCCTTTCATCGTGCAAAAGCCCATCACAGTGTGGGGAAGGGACCTTTTGGCACAATGGGGACTGAAATTAGAATTGGATTTTTGACAGGGGTCACTGTGGCACTCGCCACTCTGAAGCTGACCTGGAAAACAAATGATCCTGTTTGGGTGGATCAGTGGCCCCTTGAGCGAAAAAAATTGAGTGCCTTGAAAAAGCTGGTCCAGGAACAGCTGCAGAAGGGACACATCAAACCCACAGACAGCCCATGGAATTCTCCAGTGTTCGTCATTCACAAGAAAACTTCAGGGTCTTGGAGACTGCTTCATGATCTCAGGAAAATCAACGAGGTCATCGAGGACATGGGACCACTTCAGCTTGGACTCCCATCTCTCTCAATGATCCCGAGAGACTGGTCGCTTGTGATCATTGATCTCAAGGACTGTTTTTTCAGCATTCCACTTCATCCAGATGATGCTCCACGCTTTGCATTTTCTGTCCCAAGCATCAACAGAGAGGAACCTCTGCAAAGGTACCATTGGACAGTTCTTCCGCAAGGTCTCAAAAATTCTCCAACCATTTGTCAGTGGTACGTGGCCCAAGCATTGCATCCAGCACGAGAGAAGCATCCAAAAACAAAAATTATTCATTATATGGACGATTTGCTCATTGCAGCACCGACAAAAAAGGAGGTGCAAGAGGTTCGTGACTGTGTGATTGCACAGGTGCAAAAGGCAGGACTGGAAATCAGTGCACCAAAAATACAAGAAATTGCACCTTGGAAATATCTGGGCTGGAAAATCTCGAAGCAAACAATAAGGCCACAAAAGCTGGAGATCAACACAAAGGTCACCAATCTGCAGGATTTACAGCAGCTTTTGGGGGAGATCAACTGGATGAGACCAATCCTGGGAATCACCAATGATGACATCTCGTCACTGCTCGATCTTTTGAGAGGGGACAACAACATCAAATCTCCCAGAACTCTGACACCTGAAGCAAGAAAAGATCTTGAGAAGATCACAGACATGATTCAACAGAGACAAGCACATCGCTTTGTGGAATCATTGCCTTTTCATTTAGCAGTGTTGGGGGAAACAGCACAGTTATATGGGTTGATTTTTCAATGGGATTTGTCTCAAATGGACCCTCTTTTGTTGATAGAGTGGGTTTTTTTAGCTTACAGGCCCTCAAAAACAATTCTTACAGATTTAGAAATGATAGCACAAATTATTATTAAGGCGAGAACCAGATTGCTGGTGATGTCAGGCAGGGATTTCTCAGTCATTCATGTACCTTTAAAGAAAGTATATTTTGAGTGGGCGATGCAGAAATCACAGGATCTTGCAATTGCTTTGTTAGGGTATCCAGGGATTTGTACAGTTCATTTTCCGGCGCACAGGATGTTAAATGCAAAAGTGAGTTTCAGGGAAAAGCCAAAAATAAGCCAGGAACCAGTGGAAGGGATGACAATATTCACTGATGGTTCAGGGAAAACTCACAAATCAGTGGTCACATGGCAAAATCCAAAAACAGGGGAATGGGAATCAGACATAAAAATAGTACAGGGTTCACCACAAATTGTGGAATTGGCAGCAGTGGTCAGGGTTTTTCAATTGTTTCAGGAACCTCTCAATCTGATCACAGATTCAGCATATGTTGCAAATGTGGTCAAACGATTAGAGGGATCACTTTTGAAACACACTGACAATGAAATTTTATATTCATATTTGTTATGCATGAGGACAATTCTAGAAAATAGAGAGCACAAATATTTTGTTGCACACATCAGGGCACATTCCTCACTCCCAGGGTTCCTAGCAGAAGGGAATGCTCACGCAGATAGGCTCACAATGACCATATCACAGACATTGCCAGATATTTTTGAGCAGGCAAAATTGAGCCATGCATTTTTCCATCAAAATGCACAGGCGCTGATGGAGTCCTTCCGCCTTTCTAAAAGTCAGGCGAGGGAAATCATCAGTGCTTGCCCAGATTGTCAGCTTGTGCAGCCTCCTGCATCCACAGGAGCTGTCAATCCAAGGGGATTGCAGAGTCTTCAGCTGTGGCAAGCTGATGTCACAAAATACCCATCTTTTGGGAAGCTCAAAAATATCCATGTTTCAGTTGACACATTTTCAGGGGCAATTTTCGCATCACTACATACAGGGGAAACTGCAGAACATGCCTGCAGACATTTTTTGCAAGCATTTGCATCACTCGGGGTGCCACAAGAAATAAAAACAGATAATGGTCCAACTTACACAGGTAAGGTGCTTGACAAATTTCTGAAAAAATGGGGAGTCAAACACATTTTTGGTATTCCTTATTCTCCCTCAGGTCAAGCAATCATTGAAAGAACACATCACACCCTGAAATCCCTCTTGGATAAACAGAAAAGAGGGGAAGCAGGCGCAACACCACACATGCGGTTGAACAAAGCTCTGTATGTATTGAATTTTTTAAATGGTTCTTTCTCAGAACCCACTCCACCAATTGTTAGGCACTTCACAAACAGCACACAAGCAAAGCTAAGGGAAAATCCTTTAGTTTTGATCAGAAATCCAGAATCGGGACAAATTGAAGGTCCATTTACATTAATAACTTGGGGCAAGGGTTTCGCTTGTGTTTCCACAGGGCAAGGACCGAAGTGGGTGTCGGCGAGGCACGTGAAACATTATCGGGTGCAGACGCCAGTGGACGTGGACCCGGGAAGCAGAGAGGCAAGCACGCAGACGAAGGCAGACAACAACGCTGCAGACGTCTCGTCAGACAACGATTGATCACCCAGAGACTTGGGGGGTTTTCTTTTCCTGGGAAATCAAGTGTTGTTTGGGTGTTGCTGCATTGCAGGGTCTCTCACAGAGGGTGGGGGCATGGACATGGGATTCAGGCAGATAGTGTTCATGTGCTTCATTCTCTTGCCTATTGCCTTGGGCAATTGGACAGACTTTCCCGTGAAACAACCAAAGGAAAATGTGTGGGAAACTTTGGCAAAGGCAGCGGGTCTAGACAGCATTTGTCTGACTCATTCAAAGCCAGGAAAACCATTTTCAACATGTTTAGTAGGTGTGCCAGTGAAGGAATGGCCAATTCCAAAAGGCATCCCTCCAGAGATTCTGAAAACTTTTTCGGATCCTGTGGAAGGATGGCAAGTTTGGACACAGTACCTTCCTGTGGCTCACTTGGAACCTCCAGAATTGGACATTTTTGGATCAACAAAAATGAAATGGTGCATTGAATTTAATTCATCAGGAGTGGCAAAGACAGATAATCATACAATAGATGTCACTCCCAATCAGCCTTTTTATAAAAATGCATCATCTTGGTGCAATCACACAAAAATAACAAGCAAACCATCCCTTCAACACCCAGCCACTTTACCGAAGGGAATGTTTTTCATTTGCGGGGACAGAATTTGGCCTGCTATCCCTGCAAAAATCAAGGGCGGTCCATGCAGCATCGGGGAACTCTCATTGTTAACACCTGATTTGAAAACTTTACAAAAGCAGACACACAGGGAAAAAAGATCCCTTGAACAACATAGTCCAAATTGTGATGATGATGTTTCTACCTGGAACAAGGCTCAGAGAATTGCAATAGCAATTTTCTCACCCCAAACAGCATCAGGGGTGGCCTTGACACAATTGGATCATATAGCGTGTTGGTTGAGTAAACACAGTCGTGCCATTTCGTTTGCACTGAGTGACATGTTAACAGACATCAGCGGTGCAAGGCAAGCAGTGCTTCAAAACAGGGTGGCAATTGATTATTTGCTGCTGACACATGGGCACGGATGTGAGGAATTTGAGGGGATGTGCTGCATGAACTTGTCCGATCATTCAAAATCTATTCATGAAAATATAAAACAAATACAGAATAGTATTAGCAAATTGAACAGAGTTACAGGGTCCTGGTGGGATAATTTGTTTAACTTTTTTGATATCTCACCATTGTGGAAAGAACTTTCGAAAATAGCATTTTATATTCTTATAGGGCTTGTAGTTCTTCTGCTTGTTCTACCATGCGTTTTCGTGTGTATTCGAAAGACCTTGAACAGCATGGTAAAGCGGGTTTTTCTGGTTCAAACAGAGAGGGGAGATGTCGGAACCCAAAATGTCCCTCAGACATTTTTAGAGGTTCCAGGCCTTGGTCAGAAGCATTTTAGACCCTGGCAAGCAGCTGAAAACAGCTGTGATTTTGAGTTTGAACCATGGAATGAATTACCAACTTTGGGGGTGGAACAAGCAGTCACAGAATGTTAGATGGTATAGTAAAAGTAGTCACAAATTAGAGGGTAAAATTTTTTAGTGTTGTACAGGGGGGTTTTAGTACCTGTACAGGGGGGTTTCCACTTTGTACAGGGGGGTCAGGAGTTCTAAGATGGAGGAAAGTGGTCCTTATCTTATTCTTCCTCCTTCTTCTTCCTTACCTCCATGTTCTTGGTGATGTTGGCATTCACAGATTGGTTTAGAGTAGAAAATCACATTGTAACGTAGATAGTAGGTATTGGGGAAAATCTATAAACATATAGTACGTAATATATCATATAAAAGATAGTAGCAGCTTTGGGCGGGGAGAGAGACGACGGAGACACCGGACAGTGAGGGTGTCAGGAGAGTGTGTGTGTCTCTGCCTGGGCCGCAGACCAAAGCAGCCGCAGCGGGCGAAGACAATCTTTTAGATAGCTAGCAATAAACTACCTTGAGACCGGACAACAAGAGGCTGTGGAGTTTTTCTTTGGAAGCACGGGTTGGAGGAGAGACTTTACCACCACACGAGAGCCCCGAATCAATCCCGGGGTTCTCACAGGAGGGAAGAGAGAAAGTGTGGGCTTCTCTCCCCTTTGGGTGGGATTTTCCCTAGCATGTAGGGGTTGGGCCTTCCTCAGGCCCTTGACAGAGATAAAGAGTTTTTTTCTTGTTTCCCTTTGTCTCTAATCTCTTTTCAACAGTTTGTTGTTTGTTTTTCTAGAGGAAGCGTTCTATGTAAGGTCCAGTCGGGATCGGGAAGTGCCTGGGAGCAGCTGCAGCGTGGATGGGCCGTGCCCTTGGAGAAGGCTGAGGACATCGTTTGGGCAACAAGCACAAGGAGGCTCCTGCTCTGGGCAGCTGCTGAGGGCTGGATGTGCCGTGGCTGGCTGCAGGCTGGGAATGTCCTGCCCTCCTGCTCTGCTCCCAAAGGCAGCAGTGATGGGCAGCTCTGGGCACAGCTCTGGGCACAGCCAGCATGGCCTGGGCTCTGTGGGCAGCTGGGACAAGGGGACAGCAGCCTTCAGCTGACGGGCAGTTTCTGGTTTCTCTCCTTGCAGCCTGGCTCTGCGGGTGCTGAGGCTGCTCTGGGCTCTGCCAGGGCTCTGCTGGGCTCTGCCCTGGGCACAGCTGGGCTGGCTCTGCCCTCACATTGCTCTGACAGCTTTGCATCAGACAAGCCTATTCCGAGCACAGTGCCTGAGCTTTCTGCTTTGGCAGGTGAGTGAGACTCCCCTGCAGGCCAGGAGATTGCAGCTGGGGACACACATCCAATTGGCAAGGACCCAAACTCTTCACTGTCCCAGCTGAACCCCTGAATCTCCGCAGGAACGCCTGGATCTCCACTATTCATTCTTCATTTCTTTTTGGCTGGAATCGTGCAGTTGCACTTTCTTCCTCCTCTAGACGTGCCACGAGTGGCCAAAGCTGGCAAGTGAGCCGTGTTCCTGAGGCAGTGCAGTCTGGAGCTGATGGATGGAGAATTGCCCTTCCCACTTCCAAACCAGAGCAAAAAGCCGTAAGTGGGATTTTTCATCTGTAAGAAACCCCTGACAATTTCAGAGGGAATGTGCAGCTCATTCACAGAGTGAGAAGGAAGGTCATCTTCTAAAAGATTTGGGGTTTGACAGAGTTGAGATTCCCAGTCCTGCCTGGAGCTCGAAGGGCCCCAATCAATTTCCTATTGCTTTGACCACAATTTAAAATAACAATGTTGGAAACAAACCCCAAAAACTGTAAAAAAGGCTGTTGAGGTCAGTAAGATGGATCCATGCCATCAGCACATTTACAATGTAAATAACTGAGTTCTCTTTTTAAAAAGATCATTTACCTCTTAATGCAAAGTTACAGAAGTTGTTTCACTAGCACTTGGATTTTACTTGTATCTTTTACAATTCATCTAATTGTTTGGTTTTTTTTTCTTTACCTTTTTTTTTTTCTTTAAGCAGAGGTCCTGGCCCTCTTCCAGCCAAAGGGGAAAGGGCCCCACCAAGCCTTGTTACCCACAGACAACATGATAAAGCTGAACAATAAAGGACCTTGGAGCATTATACTGTAATTAAAAAGGTGCCAGCTCCATGGACAACAGAATTATTGTTCCTAACTTGAATGAGATTGAGCAAAAAGAATGAAGAACGGTGTCACTAAAGTACTACTGACGTTTGCCAAAACACTTCCAGAGTTTCACCAAGAGATCAGTCATCAAAATGTTTTGGAAATTTAAAGACCAAGGTAGCCAAAGCACTCAGTGTCACTAATTGCTGGGTATGTTCTCAGCTGAAGTTGGGAGGAATGGGGTTCCCTTGGAGGGCCCACCCTGTGGGGTGGCCAGAACTCTGTCAATGGGCTCTGCCTCGTAACGGAGTCAATGAAGGGACAGTTACAGAAACCTGTGCTGTGGGACACGGGAATACAATGATCCGTGTGACAGGATTCACTCAGATTTCCCGTCAGGAGAAACCAAACCCTGTTACAGTTATAGAGGCTACAGTGTCAGAAGATTCCTGTGCTTTACCATCACTCCCAATGTCAATAGAACTTGGGGTGCTGCAGCTGGTCAGTGTCAGTGTCTCACCACTCCCAGCTGCAGGGCCCCCATTTAGGGTCCTTCAGCAACGACCACACTGAAGAGTTAGGGCCCAGAGAACATTTTCCACCCAAAGAGTGCCTTGGGTTTCAGAAAGTAAAAGATTCTGGTTCACCCTGTGCCCCATGTGCGCTGCCCCGTGCCATGGAGTTTACATGAATGAGCTGACGGGATTATTAGAAGAGGTAGTAAATGATACTGTTAAAATGTCCAATAGCACATTGGATTATTAGAAGAGGTAGCAAATGATACTGTTAAAATGTCCAATAGCACATCCTATGAGCTCCAACAAACACAAATGGGGACTCCAGAGAACCGCATGGCCTTGGATTATCTGCTTGCTGGCCAAGGAGGAACCTGGGCTATCAGGGGATGGGGATGTTGCACTGCTAGCAGTGATGGGTTTGAAGGCCAACAGTCAGGAATCACCTTGACAGAAAGAGCAGTAGAAGAGTGGCAGAAAGAAGAAAATTCTTCTTGGTGGGATTGGCTTCGTGGCTGCCAAATTAGAGGCTGCTGTGAAATGCATTCGTGGCAGTGCCTGTCATCATTGCAGTGTGTGCACTTGGTGAGTTGCTGTGACACTTTGTGCTGGGAAGTGGAGTATTGGGACCTTTCTTAAAAGAGACAGTCTCAAGAAAAGAGAGGCATTTGATAAATAACAGAGAATAGCAACTATTTAGGCATGTTTTAAAAGGAACGTGAATAGCTCTGAGTAATGAACTTAAACTGCACTTAATTGTAGAACAAGAGGAGATGCCTTTATGCCTAATACCTAAATCTAAGCTGTGTTACTGAAAGAATTATTACAAAGGTTGTAGTTGATTGTAGGTCTCAGGACCGATCAAAGTACCAAGGCCTGAACAGGTTGTGATCAAGGCCTGAACAGGCCCTGAGGCAAAGCTCACCTCTAGATGAACCTCCCAAGCAAATGTTGTATTTGTATCCACTCACTAACGAAGCATGATTAACAACATGATCAATGTATGTGTTCCTTGATAAAACATGGATTTATCTTTCTGTATTTAGAAACAGACAAGGCCCCACCTGGCCTTGTTTGGGGGTGAAGGATGAAAGTCAACTCCCTTGGTTCCTCCTTCAGCCCTGGCCAGGCTTTGGGAGAAAGCAGTCAGGAGAATGAAAGCAGATGTTCTCGCAGTGGCAGTGATGCCAGCTTGTTTGTTTAACAGTGTAAAAGCTGGGTCCTCTCACAGCTTTGGGCTTGGAGCCTCATTGCCTGCAGAGGTGGAGGCACCTGCAGGAATTCCCAGTGTCTGGGAGTGGCTCTCCAGTCCTTGGCTTCCCCCAGCTGATGTGTGGCTGTGGATGATGGTAAAGCCTGAGGCTAACTGGTGATGGATCTTTCCTTAATCACTCCAGGCAATCTCTGGTAGCAATGACTGGATGCATTGCTGAGCTTCTTTTGTAATGCTTTGCTAATGATGATGTGCTTTGCTGAGCTTATCCTTTTGTAATTCTTTGCAGCTGTGCATGATATAAATGACACAATTCCTTCAGTTGGTGTCTGTCTTTGGTGCTGACCCTGCCCACTGGTGAAACAGGGCCCCCTCCAGCCTAAGTGTTACCTAGGAAGAGAAAAGCCATCACTCCAAATGTCCCCCCTTCCTCCTTGTTCCCCCCACTTTATACCCTGAGCATGATGCCCTATGGTCTGGGGTATCCCCAGGGTCAGTGGGGGTCACCTGTCCTGGCTGTGTCCCCTCCCAAGCTCCCCCGCAGCCCCAGCCCCTCTCCAGCGTGGCCAGAGGAGGGGCAGGCCAGGCTTTGGCTCAGTGGGAGCTCAGCAAGAACAAAAGCATCTCTGTGTGCCCAGCCCTGTGCTCAGCACCCGGCCCAGCAGCAGCGTCTCAGTGCCAGGGTCTGTGCCATCAGTCCCTGCCAGGGGTTTCCATGGCACCTGCCAGGCCAGGTGACCCAGGTGTGGTGTCCCAGTGAGGGCTGCCATGCAAACAGTGCCCAGCACTGCCCCTTTCTGTCTGCCTGACCTGGCCTTGGCCCTGGCCCTGCTGTTTGCTGCAGGTTCCGCGGCGCCTGACCGGCCCGCGCGGCACAGGGCAGGCGGCCACGGCACAGACCCACAGCAAGGGCTCCCCTCTGGCTCTGGGCAGTGACACCAGCCCTGAGCAATGGGCTGGCGCACTGGGGTCAGTGCGGTGTCCATGGCAGCAGTCCCTTGCAATGCCCAGTGCAGGTTGGGATGATGATCCACCCTCACAGCCGGCCCAGGGCAGGTGTGCGGTGCCCTTCCCCACAGCCTGTCTGCACAGAAGCACTTCCAGGGCTCTCTGCATTTCCCTTCCTTCACTCTTGAGTCACTCACACACCTCCCAACGACCCACTGGGAGCTTTGAGCTGCAAGGAGTGCAAAGCTGGTCTGTCCTTCAGGAGTTGCTCTAATTATGCCCTGAGCCAACTCTGCATTTGTGTTCATTGCAGATCTTCCTGTGTGTCTACATCATTCCTTGCAGGGCTCTGCCTTGGGGAAGGGGAACCTCATTGGAGGTACCTAGGGCTTGTCACACACTTGAGGAGTGTGTCTGTTTTAAATGGGGAAGCTTAGGAGTTTTAGATTGCTTCAAAAAATAAAAGAAGAAAACCCCTCTTTGCCTGAGCGCAGCCAGTTCTCCAAGCACAGCAGGTCCCAGGTGACTGAGCAGAGACAGGACGGGCTTGGGCTATGTGGGGCAAGGTTGTCCACACTGCCTCAGACCTCCAGGCACAGCTTCTCTCACTAGGCCAGACATCCTCAGGAGAGTCCCTGGGCCAATATCAGTCGCTGAATGCTGCAGTCACCTCTGCTCTAAATAGAACAGTCATAAAATATACTCTTCAAAGAGGAATGTGGATTTATTGGAAGCTCTTGCAAATAGTTTTCCATCAGTATTGTAGGAAACCTTCCTAATGGACTGCACTAGAGCAGAGGGAAATCAGGGCAGAGCCATGGTTTGTCAGGACTTGCTTGATCCCAATGAGCCCCGTGGTGCATTTAGAGCTGAGCCCTGGAAGCTCAGGGCCTGAGAGGAGATTGCGCCAACCTAACCAGGAGTCAAAATCCGAGGAAAAACCCAAAGTGTCTCAAAGCATGAATGGGTCCCCTGAGGTCCATCCACACAGACCCCTCATGGACTTGTTGGAGGAGAGAATTGGAGGTCAGGATGGCACAAACCTCTCAGAGACTCAGTGTGGGAAGGAAAAAGGGAATTACTTTAAAAGAACTGCAGTACCTTGAAGCATTAATGAGCCCCACTGAGTGTTGTTACTGACAAAGAATCTCCAGGGAGTAATTCCAGCAGATAATTGGAGGCCATGGTTGCACAAACCTCTCAGGACCCCAAGGCAAAAGCCCAAGTCCTTTGAAGAACCTGCCGTCCCTGGGAGCATGAAGGAGGGCCCAGGGCCATTCCTGACCAAGGCTCCCCAGGGCCTCTTCCCAGCAGCTCCCTGAGGCCAGGAGTGCAGGGAGGCAGAGGCTCTGTGTAGGCAGCTCAGCTGCTGAGCAGAGCCTGGGCTGGCTGGAGGCAGCAGAAAGGCCAAGGCCTGAGCCCCAGCCCCAGGGAAGGCAGATCCTGTCCCTCCCCGCCTGCTCAGGGCTCTGCCGGGAGCACTGGCATAGGGAGGGATGCTGAGGGCAGGACAAGGGATGGCAGTGCCCAGCCTGGCTGGGGCTGTGCCAGGAGGCCCCAGTGCCTCAGGACAAGGTGTCTCCTCCTCACAGCCCTTGGTGGCAAGACGCTGCTGTGCCCCAGGGCACCAAGGCCTGGCTTCTCCTGGCCACTGCCAGCCTTGCCAGGGCCCTTGGCCATGTCCAGCACAGCTTGTCCTGCGCTGTCCCACAGCTGCTGCTGTGTCCCTGCAGGCTGCACACTCCCATCTCGCTGCCCCCCGGGCCCTGCCCTGCCATATCCAGCCCTGCCCTGCCCCTGCCATGCCCAGGGCATGTCTGCAATTCCCCCAGGCAATGGGTGGGGATGGGCAAGTGTTCCTGAGGGCACAGGGAGGGGACAGCTGGGCTGGACTGACCCAAGGGATCTCCCATTCCATGCAATGTCATGGTCAGCAATAAACTGAGGGAAAGGAAGGTAAGGGAGTTCTGAGGTAAAAACAATTTAGCAGCATTAGAAATTACTGAGAAAACATAAATTGAGAGACATCAGAAAGTGATACACCGATCATAGTTACAATGAATTGGGCAAAAATCTTTTCCACATTTACATTTAAGATGAAGGGTACAAAATTATCATAAAGACATTCTGTATCGAGGATGAAAGCAGGATTCATGATGTGATGCTTGTGGTTTTCAAGTTCTAGAGAGCAGAAGCAGGCAGCGAACAGCGATGTGGTTTCTCCAATTTGATTATTTGATTGCGAAGTTGGCATATCATTGTGGGAAGTAATTAGAGAGGCTGATCTTTCCTTCTATAAGATATAACTCAATCCAAGAAGTTATTTCCAAATTATTACAAGCAATGGGAAAAACTTGTATTAAAATAATAAGGGAACTTTGGGCAAGGTACATTTAGGAGACGGGACAAAGGAGTGAACCTGGGCACCACTGTTTCACGGAAAAGAAAACAGTGGAGCCCTGCTCCGGGTCTCCAGCTCCACTCCCTTTGAAAGGCCCCCCCACCCCCCCAGAAAAGGGGAAAGCTCTCTTACAAAGGGAGGTCCTCTAACGGGGGGGCCCCTCCGGCAATCCCTCCCATCAGAGGGGGGCCAGAAGAAGGACTGAGGGATTAATCCAAACTCACCTCCCCCCCAACAGGGGCTGGCCCGCTGCAGGATGGTGCAGGGCCATTGGGGGAGGGGAGGGGCTGGCAATGAAACGTGGGCGGAAGAGAAGGGTTACGGCGGGAAAATGGGGTCCCTGTAGCGTGGCCAGTGCCATCTTGGGAGGGGGTGCTGGGTGCACTGCATCTCGCCCGGGGAGGCACGGCCAATGCCACCCCTAAGGGAGGATAACAGTGTCCGGCAGGGCGCTTGGGGCGGCTCAGCCGCTGCCATCCCCAAGGGAGAAGGTTTGGGGAATCTGCGGGGAAAAAGGAAGGGGGGGCTTCGCAGAAGCCGAGAGGGAAATCTACAGGAGAGGGGCCCAACGCGGCTGGAAGCCGACGAAATGCGTGGATGTGAAGGGCCTCTCTTAGCATGTTAACAATTCTCCCATAGCTGACGTGTCACCGTTTACAATTCTGTCCCATTGGTGTCCTTTCGACCCCCCCTGCCCCCATAGCCTAGAATAGGGAGGAGAGGGTAGAAAAGGCAGCTTTCCGAGAAAGAGAAGGAGCTTTCCAGTATGAGTTACCCCAAAAAAGACCAAGCGAGTTTGCGTCCTCATCGGAAAAGAAAAAGATTCCTGGCTGCCAGGGACATGCAAGCCTACAGCCCCCGTCTGGGCGTGGACAGTGGTTAAAACTCAAAAGAAAAAAAAGGTAGCCCAGCCACCCGCCAGGAATCCAACCCTGCTCAGACCCACTTACCCTCCGGGCTCGGGCGGTGAAATCTCTATCTCTCTCCTCGGTGATGGAAAATCACGCTGAACTGAGGACGTTTTCTTTTGCGGTTTGGCTCTTCTAGAAGCCTGGGTGTTCCTGTTAACCAGGGCTCATCCCTGAAACCCTGGTTTCAGCCACTGTCAGCCTCTAGTAGTCTCTATGCATGTGTGGTCGCCTGATGCACCGTTCTCGGGGCTCAGGCTCAACCGCGAGCCACTGCCAAACCTCCCTCTTCTGTCTTCGGGTAAGCCTGCCCCTGCAAACCCCTGAAGCCTGGCACCCCTGCGGCGCGGCTCTGCTGCTGGCGGGGGCAGAGAGCGCAGCGGCGCAGACAGAAGAGTGTCCAGAAGCTTCAGTTTTGTTTTCCGCCCGGCGAATCAGCTCCGCTTAGTGTGGGGCAGAGCTCTCAGGATGGCAGCCTTCCTCTCTCCCTCTTTCACAAGACGAAGGAAAGAACCTTCCTCTGCTACCATTTGTTGCCTTGCAAAGCCAGACTGGGTGGGTGCCGGCCAACGCGCGAGAGGAGCGGGGGGAGTCGGCCGCCGCTTTCCCCTGGGCTCTGCAGGCTCAGTCTCAGCGCGGGGACAGACAGATGGCAGACACGGGACTCGGGTGCATACACGTGTTTATTGTGGGTGCGTGCTTCCCGAGACAACCGGGGCACCGGCAGGGTATCTGATATATCCCCCGAACTGGGGGAGGGGGCGGAAACGGAACCGTGGCCAATGAGGATAAGGCGGGGGTGGGGAAACCTCCCCAAGAAAGCAGGAGACCCCGGGGACGGGGCGGGGATGGGAAAGGCGGGGGGGGGGGGGGGGGGAGCAGACCGCGTGGCGAGGGGGAGGGGGAAGGCAGGGTCGCAGCACAAAAGGGCACCGCATGGTGGTGGGGGCTGGGAGGAGAAGGAATGGAGGGGGAAAGAAAAAAAATTACAACTCCCACACTGGTGTGTGCCTCAAATGAGGATATACTTACCCACGTGCTTGACCTAACGACCAGTGCGTTGA